GGAAAGGAGGCTCTACTTGTTGCAAGGTGTATCTTACTATATCTTCACAGACTGGGAATTGACCTAAAGCAATTTCCCAAAAGTGTGTACAGTGAAATTGAAATGGGATGGAGTACGGGAACATCGAGGCTAGCGCCAGTTTTCTTCACCACCCAAGACCTTTGTTCTGCTCCTTTTTGTGACCCCTGGCAGCCTGCCACCCTTGGCAGATGCTTGCTTTACCTAAAGTCCCTCTAATAAATACTTATGCAGCCATTCCTGGAGGCAGCTGGCTAAGCAGCGAGCACAGAAGAGCAGGAATATTTTACCTGTCTGTGTATATACAGAAGCCTTTTTCAGGTGACAGGGCCAGAGCTTGCCAGTGACATGCAAGGGATACATGTGTTAGCATATTTGGGTGAGGCCCCAGGGAGCCATCACAGTCTCTTAGGATAAAAGGTGGAGAAAAAAAGCCTTCTTCGCTCCTGACTTTTGGTCTCTCCTACTTCTTGCCTCCTCACTACTTCTGTGACTGTCATTAACTATAAGTTCTAATGTCTTAACAGGAGGCTTTTGTATTTTAATGGGGGGGGCAGGGGGAGCAGGGAGGGAATCAGGAAGGCTGCCTGTGTTCTGCATTATTTGTCATGGTAATAAATGTATCTCTTATTAAGGTTGAATAGCCTCAATGGGACACACCTGTGTCCCTCTTACTAGCTGCGATCTGTGCTAATTGAGTGAGTGATGCACCCATTGAAAGACAATGGAAAAGAATGAAATGAAGATGGATGAATTCAAATGCACCTCTCCAGCGAGGTGAGAACAGTGTTTCACATTCCTTTTAATTCCTGGAAGTCTCAGATGTTCTGTTCAAAATTGGCTTTTTGTTCATGCTTCAGCCTCTTTTAGCTATATCCATTTCTACAGGGAAGATCAAAATGTTGTTTCTGGAGCAGAGGGAGTTAAAACAGTCAACAGCCTTTTATAAAGTGACACTGCAGCTGTTTCTTAAGTAGCAATGGATCTTAATGAAAGGCTGCTCATAAAATTATTATCGCAGCAGCAAGTAGAGGTCCCAACTGATATTAGGCCCCTATTGTGCCAGGCACCGTATGAACACATTAGGAGAGAATAACTTCTCTGCGAGGAATTTAAAACCTCATTAGATACGACAGAAAGAAGCTGTGCCAGGAATAAGGGTCCCCACCGGGTAAAGAAAAAGTCCCTGGTCACAGGGAAAACACATGGTAGAGCCCCGAATAAGATGCTGGGTTCTTGCCCCCCAGGCTTGCTGGTAGCCCTAGAGGAGAAAGTCGTTCATATCTAGCAGCTCAGGACCAGTTTATTCCTATTGCTTGAGGCCAAGATTTGAGACTTTTTTTTTTTTTTTTCCAAACACAGATTCCAGTCCTGCACAGGGAAAGCTCTGGGCCTGACCTGGGGCACCTCATCACCATGCACTGGGATGCAATACGGAGGCAGCGTGCCTGGACTGTGTGGAGATGGGCCGTAGAGCTGGGCTGTGCATCCAGCAGGAGGTCAGCACAGCGTTTAAAGCAGCCATGCCCATGTTATTTGGCTGTCACACCCCCTCTCCCGAGCCCTGCCTTCTTCTAAGCCAGTGTCAAATCTTCTCTGGACTTGAAGTTGGAAGGGGCTGAACTCCCAAGATAGTACTTTTCTTGGATTCTGTTGGAAGCATTGACAATTAGGCAACTGATGCATTAACATGCCAGAGAGGCTCTGATGTTTATTTATGTGCTGCTCTCGAGGGTTTAGTGAATTGATGCCTGGTAAAGCAGCTAATGGGAGCCCTTGGCAGGGTACCTTAGATGGATTTCCTTATTATCTCTCTAGATTTTATACTCTCTAGCAAAATCAATATTCAAGCTGGTGCACAATGCAGCCTCTTATAGCTTCAGGGTTTAAAGATTTATGGGGCATCAGGGAAAACAAATGAAGGCAAAAGACAATGACAAAAGAAGTAAAATCCAAGTGGCACAAATTGCTACTGAACTAGGGTGGGCAAAAGCAGTCATTATTTTTTGAATTTTCTATCTTTGTTAGGGAACCATTTTTTAACTGAGTTCCGCTGCCGCCCCCCTCCTTTTGTGCCTCCTGCTTTGGTGAGGCTGCATGTTGCCCTTGCGCTCCAGAAATTGTGACCAGGGCAAACAAATTGCTGAGCATTTAACAGGGAGGATTTCGGGTGGCTGTTTTAGGTTTCTGCAGGCAAGACATGCCGAAAGAGCACTGGAGAGCAGGGAGAAGAACAACCACTGTAACAATACCTACACCTTATGCAACTTACCCTTTTCCATAGCAGGTCTGAGCTATATTGCATGGCCCTTTGTGGGGCCTCAAGAGTCATGTGAAACAGAGCCAATGGTGCTACCTATTTCAGTTTTGGAGAGGTGGAATACAGAGGAAAACAGTCTTTAGCTCTTTAGCTCAAATACTTCCATTTCTCCACCTACGCTTTTTCCTTTTTTTTTAATTTTCCCTTTTTTTTTCTTTTTTTTTCTTTTTTCAGAAGTCCTGCGGTGTCACAGGGCCAGTTTTCTTCAGATTGCAAACTTGCAAACTGCCTAGCACTAATGCTTTTCACAAGTAATGTAACCCCCTCCCCACCTCAAGATATGACCCACTGCATTGCAAGCCTGCAAGCTAATTTGTATGGTTCTAGCTAGCTAGAGCAACTATGATACTCAATCAGATATGTTATTATTTCATTAATTCTGTGGAGTTATCATTAAGATTCCCACCATATTTGCTTATGACTGCCCTAAAGGGAAATAAAGGATAGATTTTAAAATGTTGGTAACACTGCGAGGTTAAGTGGGTACACAGCTGGCTCCTGCACTCACCATGCTACCCCCGGACTTTCCTGATCACAAAATTACTGCATGTTTTCTTTTCTCTCCCATCTTCAACAGTAGCATTATGAGGCTTAGTCCAGCCATCTTTGTAACATGCTTGGAGGAGTTATGAAGTGAAATATCGCTTGTTATGCTCTAGGATAAGTCAGAAGATTTTTTCCTTTTCCCAATGCTTGGTATGTTTTTTATTGCTACAAGGTTACAGTTTAACTGTTAAAACAACATTGAGGGCTTGAAAGGGTATCTAGCTATAAATGCAAACAAGTTCAAGGTAACAGCATTTGTGGGTGTCTAAGTGTTGTATATGGGGGAACCCTAGCTTGTCCATAGTTTGCACAAGATTATTTTATCATTAAATCGAAATAAGGAATGGGATTGCACATACCAATCATCTAGAGATTATTCAAACAGGAAAGTTTTGTTAGTAGGAGTCAGATTCAGTCCTGGTTGAGAATACAAACGGTAGAATTCAAATAGCACCAGAGGTCCCACATGATCTTCTTTCTAATCAAGAAGAGCTGCCACCTGCCAATGCAGTCTTCTGTACACATGGACATAACACAGGCAGACAGTGGTTGTAGCATCACATACCTACGGAGCTTTTATGCATCATGCCGCAGTGACACTTGCAAAAAAAAAATCTTGCTTCATGGGAGGAATCACAGCCCTGGTGCAGCTGAGGTAAGGAAGCTTCTTAGCCATCTTCTCTTCCAGGAGACCTTCAGCACTGCCATCATTGTACATCGTTTACCAAGCTCTTTATTTGCCTTCCTCCACAAACTGAGGTACAACATCTGCAAGTGCAGTTCATAAGCCAGCGGAGAGAGAAAAAACTAAGCCAAATTTATTGCTTGTTCCACCAAAACTTAGGTGAAGGATGCTTTGGTCCTGTTTGCATCCTGCCTGTAGATACTGTAACAATCACAAATCTTGACATATAAACTCTTAAACACTTGATAGTGTGGAAGTGGTGTACAAATCCCATGCGGGGTCTCAAGAAAGGGGCAAATTTCAACCAGTAAAATTCATGGCCCAGCAAGCTGTGGAGGATCTTGTCAGTTCCTATGTTATGTACTTCTCTCCCCCAATCATTTTATTACCCTGAACATCTGTGGAAACGTGGAGGTGCAGGGAGCCTCGAGGCTGCTCAGCATGTTTGACTCCATTTTCTCCTTAAACATGTGCAAATGCTACTTCTATTTGCACCTTCGCAGAGCTGTGATTTGCAACACCAAAGCCTAAATGACACCTAAGATCCCTCCAGAGCATTAAACAAACAAGCCAGTAGGACATCTCATAGTGTGGGAAGTGCTAAATTGAAAGCAGTAGTACAAACTGCACTGCTTTGAAAATGAACCAGTTGAATTTCTTTGCTGTAATCCAAACCTGAGAGGTCCTTTCTCATGGCTTTTTCTGCATGAATCCAGGCTCTGCACAATCCCCAGAATACTGAACCAGGATTCTGATTCAAGGTTTATAATGTAGAAAGTATTGTGTTTCTAATCTTATTTTGGTTTTAATTGGACTTATATGCAGTAAATATGAAAGGAAGAGGACAGCCAGGAGACTATCCACACTAATAGTTTGACAGAGTGGGTATTTAACATTTTATACACTGTCAGTAAGCTTCTGGTTTGATACTGACAGTAGCTACAAGCCTCATAAAACTAGTCAGAGGCAAGTTAGTAGCAAGGTAAAAGCTAGAAAGTGGCTAGGACTATACAAGGTAGTTTGGGTTGAGAATTAATGTTGGTTGAAGGACGGTGTTAAAATAACTGGTTATAAAGGAGAATACCTTCTAGTGGTATCTCCTGGGCTGTCTGCAAGTTCTTAAGTTTCTTCTCAAAGATAATCCCTCTCCTCTTCCTTTTAAATGACTTTGCAAAGAACAGCCCTATCCCATGTGATTGCCAATAGGAGCGTACTAAGTTTTGGAATCGCAGAATAGCAAAATACATAGCCCCTCTCTTTGAAACATCCTTTAAAAATGCCTGCTTTTCTGGCCAGTCATCTCATTGCAAATGAAACTGCTGTGATCAGAACCTTCTATAATGCAATGTTGTGTTCATTTCTGTGATATGCCATGCATTTCAGGAAAAAGGCCATGATTATTCAAAACAAAATCCATCAGTCTGTCCTCCATCAGTCTTTTCCTTCTGCTGAATCATTACCTAAAGAATTTCGGAAAGATTTCTTCAACTGGAAAAAAAAAGGGGGAAAAAGTGTTATTTTCTTTGTATCTTGAGAGAATGACCAAGACTAGTCTTAAAAGGAAATGGGTGCAAAAGATGAAAAAAGATGATCTCAAATATTTCAATTCCTTGTTCCTCAATGCCTATGGTTTTCATTCTTTGATTTGTGTGCTAAAGAACCTGATTCTGCTTGATAATATCAGTGGTAATATCAACATAAATCAAGAAACTACTGTAAAGAGCATTCCCTCCCATAGTGTTTACATGAAGTTTATGCAGAATTTAACCCTAGTTGTTCATTTAAGCAAATGATCAGTCCTTTAAAAATTGGGACATATGCTTAGGTGGAAGAGACCATTAAATGATACGGCAGCTATCTGAGAGATTTTCTAGGAATATTTTATACTTGGAAAGGCAGGCAAACAATTTTTTATGGTTACATTGTAAGATCAGATCAGTCAGAAATGCTGACTTCTGATTTCTTCAGAAAAACAACAAACCTTCCAGTTCACTGACTTGACTGCCCTTGTAAAGCTGGATAATTGTCTCTGCAAATTGAAGCCATAAATTACTAATTTCACACCGTGGGAGAGGGTTGAATATACTAATTAGTCAAACAGTTGCATTCAATGTTCAAGCAAGCCAGGCAAATACCATCCATGTATTTATACGTTCTTCACTCTGGAGCATCTAGATCATTGCTACAGCTTACTGAGAAATATCAAGGCAGGTCCAGTCCTAGTTCTACCTGTGTTGTCTATATAGACTGCAAGTGCCCTGAAACACAGGCTCCATCCCTTTGGCTTAGTAGGAAAAGGTCCTGACCTAGGCTGTGGCAATGAGACACAGAATAGTAAAACTGCATTGCAGATCAGCAATCCCTTCCACTTAGAACCTTGAGGATGAGACTGAAACATGTCCTTACATTGTGTAAAAATGCCTTAAAGCCCGTTTTTGCTTGGGGAGGTCCTTTTATTTCCTTTTTATTGGTGGAGATCTCCTGTGTATCAGACTCTGTTGAATTTAGCTCGGGTATTGTCCTGGTAGGAAACTGCGTTGGGGGTGCCCCCAACTGCAGGGCAGAGAGTAACCCTGTTGCTGTGGTGTTTTTGCTAGGAGCTCTTTGGAACACCATTTTTGAGCACCCGCTTCGAGGATGCACAGTGTCAGCAGCACCTGGAAATGCGTGTTTATTCTGGGTTTTTCTTTCACCCTTCCAATCACAGAGTCCGAGCTCGGAAAACAGATGGGATTGTTCTACTAGTAATTGGTCCAGCTGCTGCAGAGAAAATAGAAGGAAAAGCATATTGCAGTAATAAAAATATAATAAAAGGAATCAAGCAGGATACACAAGAGTATATGAAGCATGCCTGCTTCTTCTGCTTGGTCTGAAGAAGACATGCAATATCTGGCAAAGGAGATGTTGCTATAAAAAGGAGGAAAAAGGCCTAAAGGACATTTTGTTCCAACAGATAGATCTAACTGCCTAATGGAAAATCTCCAAATGGACTTCAATCTGTGACCATTGCAGTTTTCACCCTCTAACCCAAGTTTGTCAGGGAAGAATCAAAGACAAGTAACCAATCCCTTGATCATGTATTCTTTACCTTTCCTTACCAAATGGAGAGCTGTTCTAGAAAAGAACCAGACCAGTAACCATTTATCCGTAACTCTGTAGGCTGACTGCCTGTCTCTTTATTCTGAAAATCACGGGACCTTTATAGAGGAGAGGAGAGTACAGTCACTTCTGTAAGTATTGGCACTTTTCCTGGGTGGTTGAGCTCAAGCAGCATAGTCAAAGAGAAAGAGAGTCAAAGATGTAAATTGTAAGTCTCTTACCAGAAATCCTCCTATTCTTGGCACTGAAAGGTTTATTCAGCTGTACCTCAGAGTTAACACTTCGAACACTGAATAGCAGGACAGACTTTAAACTCTCCCTACATGACCCAGAGCAGTGGCTTGTGCAACGTACCGTAAGGATGCCCTCCCTGACCTGGCAAGCTTGATCATTCAGATGAAATTCCAGCTCCGCAACCTCCTGCCGAACAGCTCGCCGTAAGAGTTGCAGGTGTCTGCCTTCCTCCCTGTAGAGACAGCATTAAAAGCACACTTGAGTGAGCAGTGAACACCCTCCTCTTCCTCAGCCCCAGCATAATTCCTGTATCTCCCTCTGTAAAGGTCTTGTTTTTACCCATGATCACAGGATGCCTTACAAAATAATAAACAACAGCCCTTGTGTCCTGGTTTCGGCTGGGATAGAGTTAATTTTCTTCCTAGTAGCAGGCACAGTGCTGTGTTTTGGATTTAGTAGGAGAAGAATGTTGATAACATGCTGATGTTTTTAGTTGTTGCTGAGTACTGCTTATGCTAGTCAAGGACTTTTTCAGCTTCCCATGCTCTGCCAGGCGCACAAGAAACTGGGAGGGGGCACAGCCAGAATAGTTGATCCAAACTGACCAAAGGGCTATTCCATACCATATGACGTCATGCTCAGTATATATACTGGGGGGGGTTGGCCGGGGAGCAGCGATCGCTGCTCGGGAACTGTCTGGGTATCGGTCGGCGGGTGGTGAGCAATTGCATTGTGCATCACTTGCTTCGTGTATCATTATTATTATTATCATTATTATACTGTTACTATTAGCATTACTATTTTACTTTATTTCAATTATTAAACTGTTCTTATCTCAACCCAGGAGTGTTTCTCACTCTTACTCCTCCGATTCTCTCCCCCATCCCATCGGGGTAGGGGGAGTGAGCGAGCGGCTGCGTGGTGCTTAGTTGCTGGCTGGGGCTAAACCACGACACCTTGTCTGCTTGACTCTCATTTCTTTGATTATCCTAGATGCAAGATCAAACATGTTGCAGTTGCAGAGCCAGCTTGAGTCTGGGCAGGTTTATCACTTCTGATTTATTGCCAACACAAAGACTGTGTAAATGCCGTACTTTCAGGCAGCTCAAGACAAGAAGCCCCCTGTAACTTTTTGTGAGCTTGAGGCTTCTCAGTAATACCTGTGAACTTGGGCTGAGTCCATGATCAGCTAGTTCAGTTTTTCCTGTATCATCACCCCATTGATCATGAGCACTAAGTACATGGCCTAAGTGGACTGATTTGTCAGAGATCACTTGCACCTCCTTCCCTGAACCCAGCATTGACCTGGGACACCAAGCTCCAGCTGACTGAGATCTGTTCCTGTGTTCCTATTACTATTAAAACATAGTAGTTGCACACTAAAAATCTAGCCTGCATCTATGAAGCAATGATCCCCCTCAAAATGCTTATGTTTAAGAGCCTTGGCCAGTGTGGAGAGAAGCTGGACTTTCCTCTGAGCAAAAATCACATCACAATACATTTCTCCTCCACTTGCGGGATGTCCACAGCTGCACCTCACCAACCAGAAGTGCTGTGGTAACACAAGTGACTAGACATGTTGCATGTGCCCACGGGCTGTTGTTGATGCTAGCTTTGGATTTAGGTAAGTGTGTTGGGCTGCCATTACCTTTCTTCATCTGGCATCGTGCTGGAAAACAACACCTGCTGTTCAGTCAGGTGCTGTTCAATCTCATCCAGCTTCTCCTGGAAGTGCTGGCAGGAGCTCTTCATCACTTCTATTTCATGGAGGGTAAACTACACAGAAAAGCAAGAAGACATCCCACTTTACTACTTTTCTTTGAGCACTTCCATGTCAAATGTGTTTGAAGCTGACAGCCTGAACAACATGGGTCCTCCTCTTACCCGCACAACAGGGACTCTATGAGCAGCTGCCGTGAAAGTCCAGATGGCACTTCAAGTGAGTTTGCACTGGGTGCATCAGTTGCATCTCAGTCACCACCTTTTCTCCTAAAGTACGTAGGATTAAGTGCTGGCACTACTCGAGCCAGTGAGAATTTAATTTTTGCCATTGAAGAGGAAACAGACTTTGATCAAAGACCTGGCACAATGTGCCAAATTCTGATGTTATTGCACTGTTGTCAGACATTATATTTGAGTAGGGTGAGTTGCTATGGGTTAATGATAGGTTAAATTACTGTCCACTGGAAGTTAGAAACTGTTTTGAAAAGGAGAAAGAGGGAGAGAAGGAAGATATATAAGAACTATGAGAAGGAAAAGTATCTTTCCTGATGGTTTCTGCTAAGTGTTACATGATAATTTCTCATCTATTACCAGTTAGAAACATAGAATTGGATTTATCTAGCCAAATGCAGATATTTACTGCACCAGAAGTACATGCAACTACTTCAACAGAGCAATGTTCTGATCCGAAAGCAGACATCTGTAATAGTGAGAGAATGTATGCCATAACTGTGACCATTACTCTTTGCTGAGAGAGGTATCCAGTATGACTGATCATTGTGGACTTGGCAGTGTTAGGTTAATGGTTGGACTCAATGATCTGAAAGGTCTTTTCCAACCTAAATGATTCTACAATCTACATCTGCCCTGATGTAGCCACCTACACCAGGAATGTCTCAAGGCAGGGGAGATGAACGAACAGGAATGGTACATCAAAATTATAAGAAGATTTGCAAGTTACTACTTTGTAGCACAGGACTAACACAATGGCAGACCACTAGTGACATCAAAATGTCTAAGTTTCTAGCCACATTAAAGACTTTTCCTTGACTTTTCACACCTCATTCAGGGCAGCAATGCAGACAGCATCATCCAAGTGATTTTAGAGACAGTACCGTCTGCCTTCTGAAAGCATGCTCCCCTATTATGCTGAAACTGCTCCGAGTGCAAGAAGGTGTTTGGCACATTCCTATCTTGGCAGATTTTGGTGTCTTGTTAGCCATGGGAAGACAGTGTAGAAACCTGCACTCCACTGCTGACCACTGTAACTGATAGGGAACAAGAGGCATGTTTGCAAAGCCTGGAAATGTCCCATCTCTTTGGACTCCTGCAATCATGTCCTTTGATGATGTCTTCATGTTTGTGTGCTTGAATGTGTCCCTCAGTCCCAGCAAGGCCTGAAACATGAGGAAACCCTCCCTGCTGGGGGATCAGCCTCAGCTAGAGGGCAAAAGATGCTCCCCATGCATTCGAAAAACCTCATTCTCAATCCCCATTTCAATGCAGCTACTATGTCAGGCACACTTCTGATGTGTGTGACCCAGGGAGAAACCATCCCATAGCAGTAAATTTAAAAATCTAGCTCTAACAGCCATGGGATTGCACCAGAAAGGGCTAATTAGAGACTAATAGTGGTTTGATAGGGCCAGTCCTGTGACTGCAGTGGAGGTGAGCTCTCCTAAGTGTCCATGTGGAGCTCAGCTGGTGCTCTTGATGCTGTGGGTCAGGGCAGCAATTTCACCCCACTGAGGCAGTCAGATGTATTATGAGCACCTTCAGATTAAGTGTTAGCTGATTGCTCATTTGCCCTCAACCCCAAACTATAGTCTTGATTCTCAGACAGTTTGCTTGTTCCTAGATGGGAGTGTGTGGGGTGCAAGTGAGCAGTGCCCACATAGTAATCATTATTTCTTCTACCCACTGCCACATCTGAGCAGAGTGAGGACTGCTAGCCATCAAAACAGCATGCCCAAATTAACTTGAAGAGCTCCTGTCATTCAGGTCACTAGGGAGAAGCCAATGGGCCACAGACAAATTTCTAGTGGGTTCCTCAAGGCTAACAAAAATCTAGAAAGGAGTATACATAAGACACAAGAGGCACAATGTGGGTAGGTTTGGCAAAAAGTCGTGTCAGCCCTTATAGATAAGGTATGGGCAGCTCCCCTGGCACTGACTCTTTGAGCATATCACAGAGCACAAGTTCACATAGACTTATTCAGAGTTCAGGCTCAGCAAGGATGGAGGGGGGACTAACTGTTCCAGGACTACTACTGATGCAAGACCTTGTTTAAGGTAAGATGCATGTAAACAGGGTAAATTTACTGTCTAACAGTTGCTCTGTGGTGCATGCCCTTGGTAAATGAGACGTAACCTGAGCGAGCTTCTCTCAGTAAAAGATGTACAAACTATCTTACCTTTAATGCAAAGTACAAAGTAGGCACTGTTGTAATCTCTGCAGAGTGGCTAATACTCAGTAAATCCTGCACAGTGACTTGGGTGTGCAACCATATCCCTAAGAACAGATCTCAGATAACAGTACGCTGCAAAGTCTGTTCCTCCCACATTCCCTGTCCACAGACTAAAGCCGACAAATCACCATTATCCCCCGTTAGAAGAGTGATAAAATACTAGTCCATCAACGAAAAAAGGCTTCCCAGTCCAGCATAAGGTACTGATTCACTGCCATCTTGTGGCAACAGCAAGATCACTGACAAAAAGCGTATTTTCCAATACACTGTTCAAAGACAAGACATTGCAGATCTATATATTCAGTGATGTGTCAGCATAAAACTCACCAGTTTCACTTTTTGGAACTTTTACCTAATAATTTTCTTCCCCAATTTGTGCAACAGTTCAAGTTTCATTTCCTTATGAAGGGCAAAGAGAGGAGGAAAAATGGAAACACTGGCAAGCCAGCAGGAGGTATGCTGCTCCTTCCACATCTTTCTTAGGACGCAAAAGCCACTCCTGACTCCCTTCAGTGCTTTCTTCCCCAATGCACCCCGAGTCTTTCACAACTTTTGGGAACTCTCAGCAATTCTGAATGAAGAAATAAAAACCTGGTGGCTTTTTACTATCAGTATTTTTATTGCAAACATTCATCTTAGCGGGACTTTAGATTTAAGGCAAACTTCTTATTCTACCATGGTAAAATGGCTTGAGGCTCTGAGAAGTTGCAATTCACTTTGATTTAGAGCAGTTTGGCTTATGGTATGTAACTGGGTGTTCACAGTTAGTCTTTAAAAAACACTCAATAATATAAACCTAGATGAGTTCTCAGTAAAAGAGGATTGCACTAAATCATATAACCTTGCATTTTCTGCAGTCCAGTAAGTTACTCGGTTACTGTAACTCAGCTGATTCACAGGAACTCACTGAAACTCATTCTCATCTCTTCATTTGACCTGTAAACTTTATCACGTAGTTTGCAGTAACCATTTTAAGACTGAACTGATGTACATAAGTTAATAAAAGAAGCAGCCCAACAAAACTGAAGGCACACAGATATGTTTGCCTTTTTTTGTCCAGAATGGAATGCTTCTTTCCCCATCCATTTCCTCAGTTACATTCCCAAGATATGTCTCTCTAAAGAAGCAAGCATGGCAGGATAGAAAAGGAAAAGGCAGCTTATGCATTTAGCTCATAAGTGTGTCAGCTGTCCATGTATATGAAGAAACCTACTCACCGGAGCAAGATTACCTATTGCAGTGTCCTGTAGGAGTATCAGCGTTTTCAAGAGCTGCAGCTCGGTGGAGGCATGGTTTGAGCAGCAGCCCACAGGGTGATGGGGAGAGACACCCACAGGGAAGGTCCATAGGCAACAGCCATAGCAGCAGCAGCAGTGACAGCAGTGACTGCCCTGCACACCCCCAGCACCAGAGGCTTCACCCCAGTAGTGTGACTTGTTTTTGCCACAAAGCATGGTGTCAAGAGAGGCTGATTTTTTCAGGTGACTGTGGGGTGGATGAAGCAGTAGTGGCCACCTGGGTTTCCTGGCATGGATGTCAGTTTGGCTGGAGGCTTCAGTGGTCTGCTTCACACTACCCTTCAAAGCCCCTGGGTCTGACCGTATGAGAGGACCACTCTCAGAGAAGTCCACAAGATCTTCCCTGGCAAGGCTCTCACTGACAAGAACATTTTGCCCTGTGCACTTCACCCTTGAAGTAAACTCCAGCCCTGAAGACATCTGAACAGTAACAGATTTCAGAGGAGTGGAAGCCATTTCACCATTTTGGACAGTGTCTCCCTGTTCTGATTTGTTGGCACCTAACGTCTCCCCTATGCTACCAGTCTCTTGACCTTCAGATGAACTTAATCCAGGCCCTTCCACTAGGCGGGAGGGACGCCTCTGAGATACTTGCAGAGAACATCTTGAAGTGGCACTGCCCCCACTTCGCACTGCTGAGCCCCGCCGCGGAGTTTCTGGGAGCCCCATTTTGGGGAAGCATTTTGTATTGTTTGAATCACCATCCATTTTGCAGAACTGCTGCCCATTTGTCACCTCATTCACTGCAAGCAGGGTACCATCTTTGCTGACCACTTCTGCTCCCCACCAAGGTCCTTTAACACATCCTGTATGACCTTGATGGGCACTTTCATGACATGCAACTCCAATGTCCTTTTCAATCAGGCGCCTCTCAACTTCATGTTTGCCTCTGATTTTGCTCTCACTGATGACTGCAGGGTTTATATCGCTCAGTTCAATGAAGGTTACATTCACCTTTTTGTGTTCTGTACTAAAATATAAATGACGATCAAATTTCGAGGAGCTAGGATCTCCTTCACCCTGAGTATCACCCTGAAAACAAGGACTATGCTCTTTTATGTAGTCCTCTTTTTCCAGTTGCTTCCTTCCAGTTTTATCCTCTTTCTTGTCTATGTCACATAACATTTCTTGTACAAAAGTCTGTGGCTCAGCATTATAGGCCTGATACTTGCCATTTTCTGCAGTCAGCAGCAGATGAGTCTCTTCTCCCTGCTCACTGCATGCTTTTGTTGATCTAGGTACCGTCAAAATGCTTCCAGAAGCTGCGATGAAGACCTTATCAACAGAATCATCTGGCTTTTGTTGAAAATCTTGATTTAACATAGGAAAAAACATCCTGTGTGACAGAGCTGTTTCTTGATTGTGGCTATCAGAAATAAAATTAATCTTTCCTGACAAAGATGCATTCTGAAGGGGGAAAAAAAAAAAAAAAAAAAAAAAAAAAAAGAGGAATTGAAATACTACATCTGTTCTATCACACTAGTTTGCCCACCACTATTTTGCCCTGGGCACCCCCAGAACATCTTTAAATACATCTGTAAATACCCAATGAACCAAAGAATCAAAGATTCTTGTAATATTTCTTCCCTAATGCCTGTAAACTTGCACAAATCTTGCATTAGTGTGGTGGAAGAGTTGCACAAAGTTCTGAGAAAGCTTCTCACCTTCTGAAGTTTTCTAGGAGGATGAATTTGTTTTCATGAAGCTTTCAGAACTCCATGATTTTTTTATGTTACTTGTGCCAGGGTTAGAGTTTTCATAGACCTACTGATGACTATTGATCATTTCTTACTTGCAAAACTACAGGTTCTGGCAGCTCCTCCATGAACCCACTGCTGTCTGACTGGAAGCTGCTTGTTCTTGTCACCATCACCTCTGCTGGGGAAAACAAAAGGATAAGAAAAATTAGAAAGACAGACAGAAAGCAGTACCCAGCCAAAATTAACACAGAGCTAAGCAGGGGCACATTAAGTGTACATTTCTAGAAATATTCTTGATCCTGGCCAGAAATCTTCAATATTGCTACAACCAGAAAAAAATAACAAAATGTGCTCAGGATAGCTACTGTTGATGTTAATAAGTGTTGACTTATTCACCAGTGTAATCATCAACTGCAGATTTCAGATTTTTATGTATTCACACAACATATACAATGTAAATAACCTATAAAGCAGCCAACCACTTGTTTTCCATTGCTAAAATTTGTTAGATTTGGCTAGATTGTTAGAACTGGCTCAGACCAAGTCTCATTCATACCTGTGTAGTTTCAATGGCTTCAACCAGGTAAATTCTGCAGGGAAAGGGAGCTGCCCTAACCTCTCCCTAGACCAGTTTGTCTCTACTTTGAGGCACCATGTATCATCTTTGTTGTTTTTTGGTCTGAGGACAGGAAATCACAGTAACAAGTAGAGATGACGTAGGGTTGCATGGCAAGACATAAAGGCAAGAGGAAGATATTCTAGATTTACTCCAGAGAAGGTTTCTAATCTAGCAGCCACATCATCTGGCTAAATCAATTAGTACCCCAACTTTTGCAATTAAATAAATTATACACCATTAACTAGCTGATTTAACGAATAAAAGCCAAGCCTCTTTAAAAGTACAAATGCCTGAAAGTAAACCCTCAGTTATCCTGTACATCCCAGTACCTCTCAGCCCTTGGATAACTTGCACTTTTGGATAACCTTCATCCTCAGATAACACCCTCATTCTCAGATAGCTAGCACAAAACCAGAGTTAGGGGAGCATGCTGAGGGAGTCTGCTGGGGAAGGGAAGGGATGGAGACTGAGACACTCTGGATAGAATTCCTCTCTTGTTCCTTGCATACATAACCACTACTGAATCCTAGGGCTTTTTATCTTCTGATTACATCCATGAAAATATGACAATTCACCTAGCAGTTCTGAATCCTGAGTTATTAATTTTGATTTGTGTGAATTGGAAAATGAAAAAAAAAAAAAAGGGTCTACAAATTATGTTTTCACACATTAACAGACTATGGGCTTTATTAAATGTATCTTGGGCATCAATTAATGAAAATCACACAATCTATTTGTAGGCAGCAACTGTAAAATCAAAACCAAATATCATTTTATGGTTTTTAAATTAATTACTTGCATTGCCAATCCTGGTATCATCAGCAGCACATCAGTCAGTCAGTCACTTTCCTATTTCAGATGAGAAATATGTGTTTCCCATCTCACACATTACAAAATCTGCAGCGATGTTGCTGAAAATTGTCTGGTTTGTGGGTGGTCTCAAAACTCATCCTTGCAGTTTCCCACAACCAACATCATGGTTCAGCTTCTCCCCCAGGGAGACTGCTCTACAGCTTCTCTAAACTTTTTTTAAAGCTGTTTCAATTACCCTTTGCATCTTTGCCAGATGTTGCTTCCGGTGTTTCAGTCTGGCCTATAGTTTTCCATACATAAAAATGAAGAAAGGCAGGCTTAGGAAAAATTTTTAAAAGCTGAAATGTTTCAGCTGCTGTACATCCAACTCAAATTATTTGAGTCTCAAATACTCAATTGTATCCTACAATAGTAAAAACTGACATTCAGGCTTTAAAGTTTGCAGAATAGAAGACCACATTATCTGCTTACCTAGTGCTTTAAGGTGCCTGTTTTTCTCCTGAGACATGCAGGACACCAAAGTAGCTGGCATGCTACTAGAAATTATATACACGGAAAGACCCTCTAACTTTTAATGAAAGTGTAAGTACAGTTAGAATTCATCTTCTGACCTGGTTAAAACCAAGTGGCTGTAGCCAGGTTTGACCCATTTATTACAATAAATGTGATGCATCTGTTCCCACAACAGTGAATTGGGTTTGCGTATTGCAACCACACAGCCTTCCCACCCACATTTACATTCATGCACTAGCTAGGGAACTACCCAAAACATGTGACGGTGGACTCTGGGCTGATCTTTAGGCACAAGGTGAGACGTTTGGATGAAATGTCTGCAGACCAAGTTAATATCACTACAGTTAGGCTACAGAAAGATCTCCATGTGTCTCCCTGGGCTTGCCCTGGAAGGAGGTGTGATGTGTGCTCTGCTATCAAGGCTGTCATTGATTAAACATGCAAGGTGTGTACACAAATCAAAGCTCAAACCACTCTGAAAGGCTGGCTGTGTATGAATTTAAAATGGTAATATAATAGGACCTAATGACCATTCTGAGCATAGATCCAGTTTCTACAGTTTTTATGTTAGCAAAATAGAAACTTAAAAATGAGAAGAAAAGTGTAGAAGGAAAACCATGTTAAGTGCAGTTCACTGGTGCTTGTTACTGTGATTTCATGTCCTCAGACCAAGTAATCACCTTCACCTGAGTTAGTCATCTAATTTGCACCTACCTACATATTAGATGTGTAATGAACTAATACCCCTAGAGTAAAGGCTTAAATTCCCCATATAGCAAGCGCAAAGAGATGTCTCTGAGGGTCTGAGCTGCAGTTCTTTTCCAACTACATTCAGATGCCTAATTTAATCATTACATCCCACACTGACTTGCAAGATCCTACCCAGTGTGCCAGGCCCTGAGGAAGATAGGCAGGTGAAGATAAGGAGTTTTTAAAAGATGAGATGTTTTTCTGACTCTGTAACACTTTATGCAAAGCCAGTCAAAATTCTCTTGATTTCAGTGGAAGTCTGAATTTAAAAAAACACTTAGTAGAAATGAATATGGGTCTCCAATTCAAGGTGAGGTAAAAAAGCTATGAAGAGATTTTCAATGTGCTTCCACAAGGACTTCAAGCTGAACAACACGCTCCCAGGAGAAACAAGGAGCAGGGCTGCATTAGGAAGGCAGGTCGCACTGCAGGCTGGGGCTGTGCCGAAACTAGATCAAACATGATAGCCTTTTCAATTTGAGGCAGCTCAGTGTAACCTATGTAAATATATTTTGGTTTAATGTCTGTATACCAAAGCCAGGTAACGTTTGCATAATGGCGGGTAGCATTTGCATACTGGGGAAACTGTTTTGGGTGAGGGGTGGGCCAATTTATCCCTTCATTTCCTCTTAGTGTCCCAAATAGGGATTAAGTGAGACTGCAAATTAGACCATGCCTGATGCTGTCCTGAGAAGGAATAGAGTTTCCCTCTTTGTGAAATTTTCAGTGATGTTAATAGCTTGCCAATGGTAACAGTACAGTTTTTTCTTGGCAGGATTTAATACTCAGCAAGGATACCCATAGCCCAAGCTTCTTCTAGGCGACTGACTCTTTGCAGGGGTCCAAAGCAGGTCTTTGCTTGGTCTCCTAGGACAAATTCCTCTATCTACCAGGTTTCTGAAAATGTCCAGGCTGGATGCTGGGTGGTGGTTTGTCTCAGAATGGACTAGCTTCTAAAGCCCTTTCAGCAGTGGACAAGGTCACCCTAGGGACACCACTTCTTCACAGCAATAACTCCTTATATTGAAATGAAGTAAAGTATTTTAGCATCTGGAAGATTGTCTTTAGGAGGGATGCAAGTTGGCCAAAATTTACATAGTTTATTTTGACATTTTTAAAATGCTCTTGCCTTTCTCTTTCAAATGTGCTTCCTTTCTTTTCTAAAAGCAACCACATTTTTTAATTTGAAAAAGAAAGGCACAAAAAATGTGTTAAATAACCTGAACATTAAGCAAAACTTGTTTTCCTTTCAAGTCTACCCAAACTGCATTTTTCCCTGATCATTTGGTTCAGCCACTGAACCAAAATATCCATTATTCATGTAGCTCTACTCAGTTCTCCTAGTGTGTGGAGACACCCAAACCTGTAGAGATTCTGCAAATAAATGCAGAGCATCACACCAAGGAAAGATAAAGTATGTTTGGAGAAGAAGTAGAGACTCAGACCAGTATTCAACTATGAACTAAAAATTACAACTCTGGGCCCTGTGTGGAGAATACATCTGGCTATGCTGGAAAGAGGAAACCTGAGAATCACCCCTGAAGACCTTGGTGAGGAAAACCTTGGCTCTTTGCCTTTCTGTGCTAATTGAACTGGGAGAGTTTAGCTCCTGCATCCCATTTCTGTTCTGTCTGAATTTTAAATAAAAATAGGCAAGAGGAACTTACTAATCAGGTTTCTGCTTCATTTTGTATCGTATAAGAAAGTACATGCCTTCCAAATCCCAAAGGTCCCACAGCTTTCCAGCCCTTTACTTGATCAATCCAATTTCATTAAGAGACTTTTTCCTCTCCCCTTATTTGCATGCAGAGACAGTGGCTTCCATTTTCAGCAACCGTCAGTGCAGGAACTCTCTGAAACTATCGGGCTCCTAGGTTCAACATTAATGAAGGAATATTCCCTAATTACTAAAAAAAAAAAAGTGCTGGAGTACAGTTCTGAGTTCCTCTGAAGACTCTGCAGCTGGTTTTCTGTGGACTTGGCTGCAAATAACACAACCTCTTGCTAGTTTCCAGCCTAGAGAATACTTGCAAACTGCAAAAGATGCCATAAGACCTACTGCACTGCTTGTAAATAATAGCACATTATTTGCATGCCTTTTGAATCACATTAACATTGATGAATGTACTTCAATATTTGTTTTTCTACATCATTTGAGTACGTGGGGAAGCACAGGCACAAAAACTTCAAATGCAAGAACATTTGTGCAAATTTGAATTTTAAATTCACAAATTAAAATCTGGACTGCTCATCCTGTCATAGGAAAAAAGCAGAATGGCCAATTGCAGCCTAGCAATGCTGTTCAAATTGTAGATTTTTTTGTAGCTATTTAAATGTTGCTGGATATTAATGTGGATAAATATTTCTAAAACTATCTGCTACATACACAGGACTACATAATGCACAGAAGCCACAATTTAGTCAGATATTTTTTAAAAGAAAAAGAAGCCTGAAGGAGTTAGAATAAGACTTTTCCACTTCAC